TGTTTTGCAGTTAGGCATAAATGAATCTTACTAAATTTAATTCAATTCACAGTTCGCACAGAATGGGGTACTCCTCGTAGTGTAGGAAAGAAATGAAGAGATCTTATTCAGTACTGTAGCAGAATAATGCTAAGAGAGCTCGCAGGTGAGTAATGACTGAAAGCGGGAGTGCTATCTTCAGTGAAATTTTAGGATACAAAACTTACTATTCAGCATTTTCACCGCGACAGTTGTTAAACCCGGCCCAAGCCCACTGGGCATTTCTAACATCTCTCCCTTTCTGACTATGCCAAACTCGCCCTTTCCAAGCTCTTCCTGCAGGCTGATAAACTTTCTGTCGATCTCCCATTTTCTGTCCAGTTGCATGTCCAATTCGGACACGTGGGTAAGGCTATCACGCCTAAGCATCAGTTGATTAGCAGACGAGTCATGAGCTCTAAATTCCACATCGACTTCGTTTCCTCCGGGACTACGCTTCTTCCGCTTATAACGATAGATACAGAAAATGACACAAATCACTACCACGAAGAAACCAGTTATCGTCGGCACTGCAACTGCAATAACAATTTTCCACTTTGATGATGACGACGACGAGGACGACGATGATGGCGACCAAGGCGATACTGATGGTGACGATGACAATGATGATGGTGTTGGTGAAAAGTTAGCTGCACTTCGATTTTCTTTTGTGTCTGGAAATAGGGAAGTGTTTGTTTCGGGTGATGACGAACTTTTTTCTGAAAACAGATACATAGTAACCTGTGACCAAGCGGTCCTTCTTCCCTTTCTCTTTGAGTTTCTTTCTTCCCTTTGCCCGTCGCTCTTCCCCGAAAAAAGAACGCTTGATCGCAAGTCAAATAGATATTTATAAATGGAACGAAGATTACAGACTACAGAAAGTCCGAAACCATTCTTGCACGCGATCGTTACGTTTTTCTTAGTAGCAAATATATATAGAACTAAATAAATAACGATTAACCGCATCCACTTACTGGTACTTTGTCTTCCTGATTCCTGGTGGAATTGGAATTTGGAAATGTTGATTTTTAAGGAGAGAAAACCAACAACAACTTCAAGCCATGGCGTCGACACTGGATAGGAATTTAGGCACAATGGTTGGAGGTGAGCGCTCTCACCACTGCGCCACCCTTTTTCCCCAAACAGATGTTTATATATATATCTGTCTGGATTTGTTAAAACGTGGCTAACGAAATTTCAAGTGCATTTTAACTATTTGACATCTAAGTGGAATGGGAAGTCACTAGCTGAAGTTAAACAATGACAGCATTATTGCTGGCAATAGACGGTAAAGTTCTCTCGCAGAAGGTAACAGGATTTTGCGATGAGATAAACAACATTTGAAACGTCCAGAAATTGTAGTCTGTTAGTCAGTCAAACCGAGGGGGCCCACAGCTCAGTGTCGGCTGAAAACAGATTGAGAATCCACAATCTTTGAGCACAGAATAGGCTTTCTAAGACAAAATCACCTGAACTAAACAGATACAAACACTCACGAAGCGTTTTTATGCTTGCCACAAAGTATTCTATATCTAGTAACACGAGCTCAACTAGGCTTTGGTAGATTGTGATAGCATAATTTTAAGCATAATTCAGCAAAACGAGCATTATTTTAAGCTTTTATTTCGGTTTAGCACTGCTAGCATAATCCGAGCTTTTTCATGCGTTGAAAACAAAAAAACCCATCATAGCGCTAAAATAATTCAGATTGTATTTTATTTCTGTATTGTTTTTTGGAAAATGTTGAGGTCTGTACTAAGGCCCATGGTCAAATATGGTCCGGCAGGCGGCAGAGATCACCCTGTGCATATCTGAGAGACTGAGACTCTCCTCAGGCCACCACGCTCAATAACTCATCGTTCAACGATTCACAAGAGCATGCTCTCGTGGACTATTTACAGGCTTGTGTAATGCTTCAGTACAATAACCGATAACACAGAGATTAACAACATGCATAGTTGTCTTTCTACTGAACTGAGGGCTTTGCCTGGATGGCGTCTATAAACAAGTATGCGGGCTATAACTTTCTGACCCCGATTCAGAACCGAGAAACGGTTGATTTTGGTATCATTTGTTAATCAGTTGGCTTTTCGAGGTGCGCACATGCGTATTTGCGATGCTAAAGACTGTAAGACTGCAAGGTGGACTATATGAATGTTCATTAAAGTCAAAATTGATAGAGTTAAGCTACTGATGATCTTTTTTTTTCCTTAAAATCAGTGTAAAATCTAAGTAGCATAATTTCGGTGACAGAGAGCATAATTTTCAGAAAGTAGCATAATTTTGGCATAATTTTTAAAAAATATGAGCACTGCTAAAAGCATAATATGCTTTTTTTTCCAGCACAATCTACCAAAGCCTAAGCTCAACCGCACATACCTGAGATTTGTCTGTCAACACTTTCGGTAAACTAGTCACAATAAATGACTTTCGAGACAATTACAACACTTCCCAAAACCACTCACGGGCGAAACATCGTCAAATTACTAGGTAAAACTCTCGCTTCCTCCACATAAATCGTCACATGGAACTTTTCTCGACTCACTGACAGTCGATTTATTCAAGATCCCGGGTGTAAACCAGCGGTTGAAAAGGAGACATACAGCCTCCGCCTTCCAAACAATTTTTTACTAAGTCTTTGGCCTGGTCAGAAATCAGCATGAATTTCCATCTTGCCTAATAGATTTCAACCCTAGAGCCTACTTTGTGAGGCCAAAGACTTGTTACTGCCAACAACAAAGCTTGCAATATCCAATCTTTCCGTCTCAAGCCCGGGATCAGTCTATCACCCTTGTAGCCCGAAATGAGACGAAATACCAGAAGATATTGGACGCAGCAGACTTTACCAGACGTGAGAGTTGCTCCTTCATAAGGCTTAATGATGCCTTCAGGAAAACTTTGCTCAAGGCAGCCAAAAAAACTCTAAGACAACCCACTATGAGAGCCGAGTTCAGTCTACTACTCGCGCTGATTTCAAACTGACATACAGAGAGAATTATGGGAAGTTATGAAAAACATTCTTTTGGGGGGGGGGGTAATGGGTTAATAGCGAGCGAGAAACTCATCAAAGTCTATCTACTGTGGCCTATCCGGTACCGATTAAATAAATAAAAAGTAACCATGGGAAAAAAAAAAAAAAATATGCTCCACTACAAGACTCAGTCAGATGGTATATAGGAGAGATTTCTGTAGCCATGTTTTTGCAAATCCAGACAGATAATTCACATGTAATCACAAGGAGCAACTAATTTCGTCATAGATCGCTTTAAAGTCTTTTACTGAGGCATATTAACGTGCTACACAAGCTCTTTCGAGTAAGAAAGTCAAGTTTTTAGAGGCCAAATTAAAGCCACACTCAAGAATCTGAGCTACATGTGTAAGTCATTACAGACGTAACGCAACTGTACTCACTATAAACTGCACAAATCATTTTTAAGGCTTAACAGTCCGGTGTAAGCCAAAGTTATTTCTGAAAGACCTAAACTAATGATGAGACGCGACGGCCGTTTTAAGGTTCTTGGTAACAATATACTTGACAAAGGGTCAAGGATCAACTAGATTAGTGTAAAACATGTCTATTCAATATTAATTCAGATTAAAAGAGCATCTTTATAGAAATCAATTGGCATATTTATATTGAGAAAATTAACATTGAGAGACTCTGGGAACGAGGTTGGTGTTAGGATTGAGAGATTTCAGAATGGTACTGTGACTTTTCCAGTTGCCTTTCCTGGTATCAAGGGCGTCAAACGCGCCGGGTACTAAGTTTGCCAATCCAGAAGCTTAATTTAGCCGCTCTTGACAAGCAAAAATAAGTAACGACCTTGTAAATACCTGGAGGAGCCGATAACACATCACAGTTTAGCTCATCTGCGCCATTCTCGCAGTTAACTTCACCATCACACTTGGAGGCGTTACTAAGGCACTGCCCTCTATCACCGCATGCCAACCTACTGCTGGGACAGGAACAGTTTTTCTCGTCTGTGTCATCTCCACAGTCGTCGTGGCCGTCGCACTTGAATATGTTGTAGATGCATTTACCGTTAAGGCAGTAGAATTGATCGGGAAAGCATGAAAATGTTCTACCCCGGGAAGACGTACTGTTTGAGAAATTCAGGCCTTGATTGTATGAAAAAACAGATGAGCTGTATTAGTAGATACTTTTATCATCGCAAAAAGTGAAGTAAGCAAACGGCGATTCTGTAGCGTTACAGAGCGTTCGATCAACACACAAGGTAATACAAAAAACTTAGTGGATACTGACTTGACGATGCCTACACCAAAGTTGCATAGCCAACGAGAAACAGCCTCCGCAACACCAAAAAATATCCAAACAAGGGTGAGCTATCCACCCAAATGTCTTACTGTTAAACCCAAGGAACGAAATATAATAACAAAGTACAAAGTAATCCATGGAGAAAGGAATTCGCGAATTGAAGTCCTAACAAAATTCGGATCAACTGAGGGTGTTACTTAGACCTACTAAGCATTAATAAATACAGTGTTCGTGTGATGAATTGGGGACACGTCCGAAAAACGATTAAGGTCCTCGAGAAACGATCGACAGCTTGCCATCTGATTTCTGCACCACAACGCATGGCAACCTTTTTTTCGAAAAATATCGGTTTGGGATACTGGTAATTTAAAGGAGTTCTACTTTCTCAATCGATTCTGTATTACATTGATACTTGGTTAAGAGAATTTCAAAGGTCCTCTGACGACGTTTTGACGTACCTCGTTTAAGGCGTTTGGGCACCGAATACTTTCAAACGTATACAGGCTATCGTTAAGCTAGTAATAACACGTTGAATTTTGGGATCAATTGAGGTTTTTGAGTAACTGAACCCCTACCCCTCCCCTAAGTCAACATTAACACGTAAAGTTGGTTGTCATTACTCACTGTTTGCGGTAAAGACAAGCTCAAAGCCATTGTATTGGTTTGCCCCATCAGAATGAAACATCACAGATGCAACGTTGCTTTTTTATTTGAGACTAAAGCGAGAGGAGATTCCACAGAACTCTCCAAGAGGATGGTAAAGATCCCAAATTCGAACATAATCAACGCACCCTATTCCTGCAAAGAAACAGGCCAGGATGTCAGGGTAAAAGTCATTGACGTTACATGTATGTTCCAAAATGCATGCAACAACGACAATGGCAAATCTGACAAAAGTTTGCCATCGGCTGCACGAGGTGAATTTGATTTGTCAGATCACCAAACTTATTCAAATTAGCTCCTCACATAGAAGGGATTTGACGAAAAATGGCAAGTCTGACTAATTTTGCTGTACAGTGAGGTAACTATGGCAAAAAATTATTCATATCATCACACGATCTTGATTTCCGCCATGTTGATACATGGCGATGTTTGAGAATATTGTGGTTTAATTTTTGAGAACATTGCCGTTTATTTGAGCTCTCCTGTCTAATAAAGGTCAATACAATTTGAAACACAAAACACCGTAAGCTATACAGGTCAATGAAATTGTTGTTGCATCCAATGACCTGGCTTTTTGTTCTGTTTCCCGATAAATTCGAGGTCTTCCCACGTATTCTCGCAATAGCTGAGGTTGAATTCTGGTACATACATGCTTGAGGTAAACAAACACGCGAGAGTAATTTTCCAAGAAGGCCAACTCTAGCAAAGTTACATGCCTAAAGCCAAAAAGAAACTATAGAAGGCTAGCAGTATGACTGCAACGTTTCTGAAAATCCCACAGTGGCACCTCTCCTTTGGGACACTCTATTCAAGGGACACCTCCAGGGGACACAAAAGTCCCAGAAAAATAATCACAAACAACAACAACAACAACAAACAAATTTTATTGAAAATATAACTGATTACATTACTTTCCCACCCGCAAATAGCTTATAAACTAATCGAGGCTGGGGGAGCTGAAGACATTAAAAGTACAAGGTTTATTTATAGATGGACTAAATAACAGTGAAGGCAGTACTATACGGTAAATAGAATAAACCAGTAAAAAACGAGGTAAGTACATAACGATTACGAAGAGAGGCTAACCTAAAGTATTAAATAACTTAATAAGACGGGAGATTTCGACAGAATCATTTTCTGATCGCAAGAAATTTAGTAATAATTCCTTTAATTTTTTACGAAAGGACGAACGTTTAAGTATATTTCAATCGAATAAGGAATAGAGTTCCAAATTTGGGCACCGATTCTCGAGAAAAAGGCATACATTTTATCGGTTCTAGAGAACTTAACATAAAACGAGTCACTAGAGACGGATCTTGCTCTGTAGTTATGAATGCATATGCGACTTGTTTTAACAAAGTGATTGAGTATACTAACTGGTGCTGTCTGTCTGTTGATATCATACAATAAATAGCTACAATGTCTGAAAAATAGGCTAGCAAGGGGATGGCAATTCGATTTGAGAAAGAAGGGTACGTCGTGTTCCTTAGACTTACTGAAGTAAGTGAGACGTAAGGCCCGTTTTTGTAGAATTACGATCTTTCTTTGAAATGTCAGGGCACAGTTTCCCAATACCATAAGTTAAGTAAGGGACACTTAACGAGTTGTAAATTGAAAGTAAAACACGACGCGGGGCATAATGTCGAATCTTAGCTATAATGTATTCCTATCGACTTGCTGATTTTGAGACAAAGTAATAATCTTTGTATTAATTACTTCATTTAAAGGGACACCGCTATTCAAGGGAAAGGGACACTTTGTCTGGGATCCGGAAGCCCAGGTTTAACTCGCTCATTCAGTTATCACCGTGATAATCAAAACGTTACTCACCAAAAAAGAGATGACTAGTTAAAGTGTAAACTGACTATAATGATGACAGCATTCACAACATGACCAATCTCACTTAAATCTATGCACAGTCAAACCCCGTTAACACGGACACTGAAAGGGCCATAGAAAATGTCCGTAGTAACGGGGTGTCCGTATTAAGCGGGTCATGTTATGAAAGTCAAAAAGACACTTTGTATTTGTAGGAAATACTAGGGGAATAAAAGAGGACATCAGCATCGTCGAATTAAACATCTCTAACCTCAGCTGTAACCTTCACAAAACCGTTATTTTGCTGATGATTAAATTCATGGAAACACTCAAAAATCGCTCATCTATGTATTTCTTAATCGATACCGTTCTCTGCATAAATTGAAGGGTGCCAAAATAGTCTGAAATTGACGACTTCAAATCATCCCATCCGTTCTACTGTAGTGCCGGGAACATCGAAGTGCTGTCAACTGACGGATTTTTCTACCTTCATAAAGGAAAGTGTCCGCATTAGTTAGGTTGATTTTCTATGAGAATCTGTTGATTAGGCAAGAAGCAGGAGTCCGTTGTTAGCATTAACGGGTGTCCGTATTAAGCTGGTTTAATTAAGAGAAAATGTAAGGGCTTCCCAAGGGACAAAGACAGAGAAACGTTAATCTTGATTTTTGGATACATTATCTAACTGCTTGGAATAATGACTGCGGTCAATTTGCGACTGATTCTACAATAACATTAAAAGTTGTGAAAGTCTTTCGTCATTTGCACTACTGTCTAACTCTAGATCTCTTACCTACCTACCAGCCTATCAACCTACCTACGTATATACTTACTAACATACATACCTCTTTTAGCTTCAAGTCTGAAATATCTAAACGTCAACTCTACTCTATAGCCATTTGGAACTGTTATCCTATACCAGCATTCAGTACTCTGAGGGTAAACGTTTGGAAAGTTTGGAGAGCTTATGGTTCCAGATCTTCCAGTGAGTTTTCCTTTACAAACAAAGCACAAAAAAGAACTACAGTTAGGATTATCCTCATTTTGAATGAGAGTGTTACCCAGTCTTATCCAGGACTGTGAGGCGCCCCGTGAACCCATGGTACTCTGCGTAGCGATGCACAGGCTACTGCTACAGGCCTTTGCTCATGCGTTAGATCACAAGAAATAATAGTGAGCCTTTACCAAGTTCGGTTTGCGGCCCGACTTACGCCGTCAAGGAGTTTACTTGTGGTAGAAATAAAACTAGTGAGCACTGTAATTTTGGGTAGAATGTTTAGAACGATTGTGATATACGAACGAACGAACATAATAAAGTCAACTCTCTCCAAGTCGGACACCTTTGGGACCGGCTTAGAGAGATGTCCGTCTTAAAGAAAGTCAAATAGAAGGAGTAAAGAAAGGAAGGGACCAACTCTAGGTGTCCATTTTACAGAGGTGTCCGTCTTATAGAGAGTCAAATAAAGGGAGTAAAGAAAGGTAGGGACAAACTTACAGAGATGTCCGTCTTAAAGAGAGTCAAATAAAGGGAGTAAAGAAAGGCAGGGACAAACTCTAGATGTCCGTTTTACAGAGGTGTCCGTCTTATGGAGGTGTCCGTTAAGAGAGAGTAGACTGTAAAGCGAAGAAAGTGCAAGATACAGTCCTGATTGTTTATTGAACCAGCGAACGCGGAGATATTCCAAACGCAGTGAGAAGATTACGCAACATCGCGTATGGGTTAAGGAAAGCGAACGACAAAGATGTTTGGAAACATCAACAACAAGTGATCGAGGCTTATTGCTGTGGAAAGGATGTGTTTTTTGTTTTTGTTTTTGTACTTTGACAGCTAGCGACTGCACACACGCGACTACACAAGCGACAGCGACGCAAATAGTTCTAGACTGCTTGCAGTCCACCTTTTCTCTTAAAATACGTCTAGTTCTTATCTCATCCAGCGCGATTGCAAACCACAACGTTATTATTACAATAAGAGATTGAGACCAGACGAGGAAACACGGACTGCTGACTCTTTTGTAGTGAACAAACCCTCCGTCAGCCCAGAAACGGAGTAACCGATTGGTCAATTGCACAGCTGTTGACAGATCATTGACTGGTCTGTGGTGAGATTGCAAGCAATAAAAATAGTCACGCGTCACAACCAACTGCAAACAATAGCGAACCAAGCAGTAATCTCAGTAATAAAACTTTTAAGGATATCTTACAGAAGAAGACTACTGTAAATTTCCTCAAGGGAAACGAATTCAAGGCAATCTTACCGGATTTAAAGAAAGTGTAATTTTTTCAGTTGTTTTTGTTCTATTTATAAATCGTTTCAAGTTACTCGGGTTTTATTGATTAATTAAATTACCTTGACAGCTTGGTTGTCCCCAGACAAAACAAAAGAGTCAGCAGCGGCTGGCAGCTTTGCCGCTCGCGTCCTTGGGTCTCGCGTTCAGTAACTTTGCAAAGAAAAATAAGAGACTGCTCGCAGTCTAATAGTTCGCGCCAAAATGTCGTGACTATGTGCGATTTTTTGCAGGGGAAACAAGTCGAGCTCCCGCTTTCTCGCTCGCTTTTGCCGCAGAAAACATAAAAAAATCTACCGCTCGCACTTCGCGCTGGTGAAAAAATTTGACCTCGACTTGTAGGCAAGTCCAGTTCATTCGCGGTTTCCTGTTTCGGTCAAGTCTCATCACCGCTGCACTCAATCAAAGCACACGAGAAAAAACCTTATTTATAAGTGTCGATGTGTTTAGCTGATAAAGCTAATTGGGGACATAATTAATAGGTAGCCAGGGTTATGTTCTGAGGCCTAAGAACGCCGTCACCTTGGTAAGCCACAAAGATTCAAACCTGCTTTCAAAGCACATTCCACTGCTAGAAATCGTGTGCGGCAAGAGGCTTTTCTTATAGAGCACGCTACGACAGCAGGGCAAGTCTGCTTAGAGAAAAATTGTGATGGGAGACTCTTGGAGTACATCGCAAAAACAGAAAGCTATGTGGTAGTTTTCAATGAGCATGTCCCTTCGAACTCTGACGTGTTTTCGAAATTTGCCCACTCCTTCTTTCTGGTGGTGTTTAACTCTTATACTGCATGTCATCGATTTAAAGTTTTGTGCCTTTTATAGCACCGGCAGTTTATCATAAGCGTTTATTAAACAAACGTATGATACGTTGCTTTTGCTTTACTTACGTGGTTCTTTGAATGTTGAACAAGCCAATGAAATAGCAAGCAGTGATTTCAACCTGAAAAATAAAAGACCATAAAATAAAGTTACAATCACATCAATTCTTGTCCCTGTCGTATTTATCTGACCTTTGTCAAACGCTTAAACTGACACAACAAGCCAATGTGGAAAACACTTACCCAAGACTAAATATGCAAAAGCTTTCAGTTGACTTCATTTCAGGTCATTTTACATTCAAAAAGACGAGAATGACGAGATAACAAGGGAGAAAATATTTTAAAGTCCGGGACATGCGGTCTTTGCTGTAAGCTACCGCCGGAGTCATCTTTCATCACCTATAAAGCTAAGGTTACCGGATACCTTCAAGGTTGTGTTACGTTCAAGTTATTTCCAAGGTCTTCCAGAGTGAGGATACCTGAACCCCTTTTTTTTAAAAAAACTGCCTTTCTTAAGAATCCAATAGTTTTTTAAACAATTGCACTTTCAGTTTTTTTAGGATTTTTCATGAGGACCCGCAAGACTTAGAGATCTGCGAAGTCGGTCATCTGAAATGACCGATTGCGCAATGTAAAACAAAAGACGTGTTGACAACTCATAGAATACGATCCTCTCTAAATCACCACGACTGAATGTTTCATTTTATTTACAAGTCATCGTTTGACAGCTTAACCAAATTAATTAGAAATTTGATTCATTGCACTCAATGGAAACACAGAAAAAAACTCGTGGGACCTTTCAAAGCAAGCCGCGACAAACGGCGAGTAAAACGCGTGAACAATTTTGCGTGCGAGCTGCAAATGCCGAGTTAAAAGCTATTTTTCTTGTGAGTGAAATATTTGGCTAAAAGCGAGGAAAACTAAATGCACGCCGTAACAATTATTCCGAAACCAAATCTTACATAGAATTCTTTAGTCAGTTTGCGAAGGTTAACGCAAAATGTTTTAGTACAATATTTATTTTGCCAACGGAAGGCCTCGTTGCTTGAACGACTATAAACTGCGGGCAGTCTATTATTTTCCTTTACAAAGCCGTGAAGTGCTAAATGCGGGCGTCTCGACCTTCACTGATTTCACTGAAAGGCTTTGGCCGAAAACGGAAAGCGCGGGCATGGAAAGTCTCTGGCACCCAGGGTAAATTCTCTATTCTAAAGTTGTTGTTTACAATCTCGCTAGCTGGAATAAGAACTAAACAGATTTTAAGAGAAAAGGCGGGCTGCAAACAGTCCAGAAAGACTTTCTTAAATGTTTGAAATAAACACGACTTAAAAACTCGTAATGTTGTGAGACGTGACCTTAGAGTTTGCTTGAACAACAGGGGTTTTCTTTCTTTCCCTCGTCGCGCGTTGGTCACCATGCCGCACATGGAGCGTTCTAAAATTGTATTTTTTCCGCCGCACTGAGACTTACATTTAGCGGTCATGAAAATGGTCTATGCAAAAAAAGGCGGCCTGCAAGCAGTTTAGAAAAACTCTCTTAATTGTTTTAAATAAACACGACTTATAAACTAGTAATAATGTGAGACGTGACCTTAGAGGTCCTTAGAGTTTGCTCGAACAACAGGGGTTTTCTTTGTCGCGCGTTGGTCGCTATGCCGCGCGTGGAGCGTTCTAAACTTTTACTGAGCGAATCTTATTTTTTCCGCGACACACATTTCGAGGTCAAGAAGATGGTCCATGTATATTGGGTAATTATTTTCTAAAAATAAACATTTTAGTTTCTTTTGTTTTTTCTCAAGATCATTTTTTAGACGCTGATCCAGTCCATTAAGTTTTTCTTGGAACAAGTGAGTCTTTGAACTGGAGCGCCATTTTTTTCTGTAGGTATTAAAGTATTATGCCTGCCAAGATTGCAGTCATAAGCCTAAAAATGGTCAAAGTTAAGAAAAAGGATTGCTTAATATTAGATTTCAAAAGTTTCTACATTTTTAAATCTCTATGATATGAGTTTTCATATGAGCGAAAAGCTTTTCGACACATAAACGTATAAAGTTTATGGTGCCTCCGGTTGATTTTTTGCTCTTGAACAAAGCCTTCTGGAGCATCTAAAGGTTGGTAGTTGTTAAAATGATAATAGTAGGTTAATAAATACATGTTTCAATAATAAGGAAAACTATTACTTGTTCATCCCCCTGCAGTTTAAGGCAAAACGCAACAGAATCCAGCCATATCCTAAATGCACAGAAAAAGATACAAAACTCAACAGAAAGGGCAAATAGAATAGCATAGAGTTCATGCCATTATCAATAACAACCCTTTATGATCCAGTGTAACTGCAAACAACAACATTTTCTAAATGACCGATTGTCAGTAAGAGAAGTATCAGGGTCGTAACATGGTATATCCGGGACCCATTGATCCCTATTTTCTTGCCGTTATTTTGATCCCTGAGCCCCATTTTCCCCAAAATTTTGATCCCTGAGCCCTGATAAAAAAAATTGATCCCATCCATGTTTCACACAAAATTTTAACTTAGACAACTTTGTTTATCTCCAAATGTAGAATATAGAACATGCTCCAAATGGGCTGATGAGAAAAACATCAACTTTCATTTTTAGTGCAAGTTGTATAGGTTCTATCAGAGCTTTAAAGATCAATGTGAGTCAACCTCTTTTTGTGCATTATTCTATTTAAAACACTTAAAATATAACGTTTGGCGATACTATGCAAATGATACAAACCTGATTTTCTTGAACGGGAGCTTTAGTCAGATACAGAAGGTAAGTTATTGTTAATTTATACATCAAAAGGTCAAATCTAAGGTCGTGATGCCTTTCGGGGCCAACCATTACATAAGCTCAGGCCGAATAGCCCAAAGAGCCGAAAAA